AAGCTTAGGAACTATTTGCTTGTGCCTTGTATTTGATTTATTGAAATTTCTGCCGTTTATCAAATAGCTTTTTCGAAATGATTCAGGTATTATAATTTGTTGAAGTATTTTCTTTTCTTGGTCACTTTTGTGTATCCACTATGTTCTTGCAGTGGTTTATTCTACAAGTACTGCAGGTTTGCTTTCAAAACGCTTCTTTTGTCTGTGCTTATTACCTTTAGGTGTCTCTTTTCAAGGTTTAACTTGATCTTTAATTGCCCGTTAATGCCTCACTTAATGCATTATATTAGCGACACTCCTAATGATGCAAACATTTACACAGAGCCTTAATAGGTAACACCAGCTCCGTGCAGTTGTGTTTTTGTATGACATCCAGACTGCATAAATGCCTTGGGTTTCTGTTCTGGGGTCTGGAGTGAATAACTCTGTCTGTGTGACATGAGTACATTGAGTTCTGTGAGCTCAAGATGAGACGCAAGCAATGCCATTTGTGTCATTTCCTCTTCCCTTTCTTGAAATCCCATTTAATATCCTGCCGTATTACTCTGCTTTACTTCACTGTGTGACTCAGGCTCTTCTGTCCTTTGCATTTCTTTGTCAGTCCCATTCAATGATTAAAATGTATTACATCTGCTTTCTCCACGTAGTATCTCCTGTCAAAACGGTGAATATAATGGTAACTAAACATATAACTAAACCACATTTTTCCATTTGCAACTAAGGTGAACTATTTTGTGGTAAACAACAACCATTTTAGTGTTAACCATAAGAATCCATTCTCATTGTCATTTTGAGAGTAAGCGAAACTTGGCCCATTTAATCTTCATTTGCATCCTATGGTTTCAAACTACTGGAGCCTCTCTCTACTCCCACAAGCGAGGGCAGGCCTGGGCTGCACTTAAACTCTGGGCAAGGCACCATTTGGCCATCCACTTAACGGTGCTTCCTTCACATCAGGAGCCATGGACATAATGACTTTGACTTTCTCTTTGTATTGACCATTATTATTATTATTAAGTGTTGCCAAATCTACTTTATAACGTGACCAATGAAGTACAAATTAACCTTTTTTTTTAACTAAATAATACTGTAATTCAGAAACTGTTTTTAATTTTACTCCGCTTCACAGTCTGCACTAATGAAAACCCATAATGTTCCTGGTCTAGTCGTCTTCTCTCATATCATCCATAGTAAACAGTTTGCTTTTTGAGAGCTGTTGTGGTTTAGATTTCACTGTCCATTTGACACACAAAGCAGATTTATTTTCAAGAAACCAATTTTTATTTACCTCAAATATTTAGCCTAGACCTCAAATAGTCTTATTTCTGTCAAACACGTCAGTATCTCAGATTGTGAATGTGTGCCAGTTACATGACTGTTCTTGAGTCTGGACTAATATATAATCAGTGTGCTCTATCAGTGTTTTTTAATATTACACTGTTCTCCCTGAAGAGTTTTTCTATATTACAGATCATGATTATTCTAATGTATAGCTATGAACCATTTTTAGCACTCACCCAACACATCCTAGCACTTCAGATACATTTCAAAACACATGATACACCCTCTTTTAATAGTAGATACACTCCATAGTAAGTATTGAAGTTCACCATTTATTTTTGCCCCCAGATCAATAGCAATGTTTTAAAAGCTAGTGATGTGTTCTGATTTGTTTACATGCACACTTTATTTGTGCATTTTACACATGCACAGTTTTTTTTTTTTGCAGTATGGCTGTTTAAGTGTTTCTTATAAGAGATGCAAAATATACATGTTATGGTAGGGAAAAACAGGTGTCTCAAATTAATATTACTTTTTTGGTATTTATAACAATCTACATTGCGCGCACACACACACACACACACACACACATATATATATATATATATATATATATATGTATATATATACATACATATGTGACCCTGGACCACAAAACCAGTCATAAGGGTCAATTTTTCGAAATTGAGATTTATATGTCACATGAAAGCTGAATAAATAAGATTTCCATTGATGTCTGGTTTGTTAGGATAGGACCATATTTGACCGAGATGCAACTATTTGAAAATCTGGAATCTGAGGTGCAAAAAAAGCAAAATACTGAGAAAATTAATTCTTAGTAATGCATATTACTAGTCAAAAATTAAGTTTTAATATATTTACAGTAGGAAATTTACTAAATATCTTCATGGAACATGATCTTTACTTAATATCATAATGATTTTTGATATAAAAGAAAAATCCATAATTTTGACCTATACAATGTATTTTTGGCTATTGTTACAAATATACCCCAGCGACTTAAGACTGGTTTTGTGGTCCAGGGTCACGTATATATGTTTTTTTGCAGAGGTTTTTTTTTTTAGGCTTTTAATGTAAACGTTCAAAGTATTTCAAATAGAAATGCTGTTAAGTGACAATGAATCACAATACTGCATATGTTTTTAATACAAAAAAAAGAGGTATTCCTAGTGCTTTGGGGGATCTGATGACAAAAGAGAACCTGACCAGATTTGCCTTTCTTTACCTGCCTTGTGCTTTGCTTTGTGCTTCCTCGGTATACTTTTTATTTTTAATTTTTTTCCAATTTTATTCTGAAATTAAGAGCTATATAAATACAAGGTTCTTAATGTACTAATGTGAAAATAGTGTACTTATGTGTGTGTGCGTTTCATAATTAAGTTACCTTTTGGGTAACTGGGATTTCAGGCTTTTTTTTTGTACCATTTTAAAAATAATTTAAGTGCAGCAAATGACTTTAAAAACAGAAACTCCATTAGCCCCTGTAATAACCTGTGTCCATACCTTACCTACTGCAACTATAATATGGTGTTCATTAAAACCTAATACAGTTTTCTTAAACTACTGGAATGCTTTTTTTTTTGTGACCTTAATGGGTTTTTCAGGATTTGTGGTTTGCAGTGTTATTTTGATTAGTTCTATATTTAAGGAGCTGTTCTCAATGGCATGGATCAGTGCCAGTGTCAACAACGTCTTGAGCCACCTATTATCGTTTCTTCCAGAGTTTGTGGTTGAACTAAAATACTAGAGGAAAATCGAGCCGATGGGCAGGAAAGTGGGAGCAATGCTAAAACTAGTGGGAGCCAATGTGTCATTTCTATTCCTTCTACCTATATGTTAAATGTTACAAATAAGGGAATAATCAGTAAATCAAGGATAATGCCCTGGTGTTTTGTTACTAATTCAAGTAACTTTATCAGTTTTAGCTTGTAAAAATCTTAAGAGAACGTGGTTGCAAATACTGTACTAGCCATCAGGAAAAAAATTAGCTGAATTTGTAAACGGTGCTAATGCTGAGCCCATATCAGGGGCCCGTTTATCGTACGTCGAGTGACATTTTATCTCGGATGTAATAAGCGACGTACGAAGAACGGGCCCCAGATGTCCATTTGCCCTCTATGTTGATTTCTTTTTGGTTCATCAATGTTCAATGTAGGATTTCAGTACAAATGTAATCAGTGTTATTTTAGTATTAATTTTATACAATAAAAGTATTTATTAATATTTTGAATTCCCCTTTACTTTTATATTGTTAGTTTTAGAAATTTCTCGTTTTGTTTATTTTTGTTTTTGTTTTTTTCTTGTATTTTTTTTATTTTGGTTTTACTTTTAGTAATTTTAGTACATATGTGTACATATAGTACATACATATTTCAGTCAGTTGCCAAGGCAACTTTTTTTTTTCTTTTTTTTTTTTTTTCATTTTGCTTTATTTTAATTGCTGAAAATGATTTTAGCAAGTTTAGTTTTAGTTAACAATAAAAACACTGGTCTTCATTATCTGTGCTTAACAGATAAGTTAAGTAGCTTAAAGTCACACCTTTGAAATAAAGTGAAATAAATCCTGTCCTTTGTATCTATATTTTACATTTGTTTTAACAGATCATTTCTGACCAATAGATGATACTGTACACAAGTTGGTATACAGTACTGTTTGTGAATAACTCGGGATGCATGTTGTATATATTAAAACTTAATTTCTTAACAAAACGTTTATTTTAAACGGTGTTGATACACATTTATCATCTATAGTTTATAACTCTAATGACCTACCAATAGGATTCGATACAAAATGTGAAACTAAACACAATCTAGCATGAGTCTGTTTGTTGTTTTAGAGTTTCAGATACACTTCTTATGCTACATTCCACAGCCTCGTTCTAGTGTAGAGCGCTGCCTGTGTGTTTGTTCAGGCTGGCTGCCAAACCCCGGCTCCGGACCCCTTCTCTCTCTCCCCTCTTCTCCTATGTCATCCCTGCTGGGACACTCCAGTTAAACTGTAAACCACTGCCGGCTCACCAGCCCAGCAGTATCGCTGATAATCCTCTGCAGCAATTATTTCCGGGTCGTAAAGCCACCTTTTTCTATCTGGAGTTCCTTGTTTATGCCCAGCTTCTACATTATTGTTTTCCCTCGTGAGCTGCTCCTCTTTGAGGAAGAAACCATTTCCACCTTCGTGTATTTATCCCTTTTTATATACAGTAGGCGTGGTGTTACCTTTCATTTCTTTTCAGGTTTCTTATCTTCATTTTTTTTTTTTATAAAATAGCAAGTGGTAAAATGGGTGTGATGATTTTTATTTATTTTTTTTTCCTCTCGTTGCTGTTTTATTGCTCTGCAAACTATAGCTCAATGTGTGAGAATAGCCTCGTGATTCCTCCTGATATATCATAGGTTTCTCTCTTCTGCTTTAATAAAGGGCTGAGTGGTTTTTAGTGCATAGGTCATTCTTGGTGGTTGTTAGGTTTTATTATTAGTAGTAGTTGTAGTAGTATTTAAATTACAATATTTTTTATTTATTTCATTTTAATAAGCTCCTAAACATTTTATTTACTTTTATATTTTTAATAAAAATATTTAATAAATTTTAATATGAAACTATTTACTTTTATTATTATTATTATTATTATTATTATTATTATTATTATTATTATGGCCTCAACAGTATTAATGTTCTTCCTTTTTTTTTTATCCCGTAGACTCTACCACTGACAGCCCACAGCCCTCTCCCTTCAACACCAAGGGTCCTCTGTGCCTGTCGCCCTCTTTCCAGATGTCCACTCTCAGTCTTCCCGGCCAGGCACCTTCACCCCTGCAGAGCCCCATCTTGAATGAGGTGGACACTGCCAGACTAGAGGAAGACGAAGAGGGCAGGAGGAAGGTACACTGATCGCATGCCAACCTGCCCGGGCCTGAATAAGAGTTCAAAAAGTTTACTGTTGAAGCCCAGCTCAGGGCATCCTTTGGATTTGATTAAGTTTGAAGAAATGAGAGAGAACCATTTGGCTTGCGTGGTCTTTGATGGGACTTGCTAGATTGTAGGTTATGACAATGACCCTGTGATTTTAGGGTTGATTAAGAAGCTTTTTAAACTTTTTGCTAACCTTGGTGTGCACAGCCAACCTAAAATAACCCCCTGCCACACCCCTCAACTTTTATAGATTTATTAGACATTGACACTTTAAATATGCAATAGTATCTTGAAATATTACATGAAATATTTCCAAGTTAATTGAAGTTAGGTTAAAATTAGTTCTAGGTTCTACCTTACATTCTATGTTCTTGTAAGTTTACATTTTAGGTTACGTGTTTGAGGTCAATTTTTACATTAGTTTCAATGTTAACTTTTGGGTTTTAAGTTCTACTTTAATTTCTAGGCTCTAAGTTCTGTATTATAAGTTCAAGGTTCTAGATTAACCTACTAAGTTCAAAAATATGCTATTTTAGTTCAATTTTAGGTTTGGTGTGTGAGGTTGTACAGTGTGTTCTTGGCTAACTTCTACATGAATTTCTATATTAACGTATAAGGTTTACATTAATTCCAAAGATAAATTATGTGCTCTACTTTAACTTCTTATTTCTGAACTGTGCTAATATTTAACTTACGTAAATTCTAGGTTGTGTATTCAAGGATAACTTCTACATTCGTTTTTATGTTCATTTCTGGGTTTTGCGTTCTACAGTAAATTGTAGGTTTTAAGTTCTAAGTAAATACTATAACTGAATTTCATAGATAAATTCTTGGTACTAGGTCTACATATAACTTTTAAGGTCTAAGCTTTGAATTTTTTTGTTCAGCTGTATGAGTTGAAGTTTAAATTCAATGTTAGTTTTTGTCAACTTATCAGTTCTAGGTTCCTGGTCTACGCTACCTTCTAGGTTCCAAGTTAATCTAAGTTCTAAGTTAGATATTAATTGCAAAGTTAAGTTCTTGTTTCTGTGTTCTGCATTAACTTTTTATGTTCTACATTCCATATTCATTTCATAGAACATAAAATAAATAAATTAACTTGCCAAATTAAATAGTGTTTAGAGGGTTTAATTCAGCTTATCTAAGAGTGGTTTTAAGTATGCTTTTATTTCCAGAGATATCCCACCGACAAAGCCTACTTCATTGCTAAAGAGATTCTGACAACAGAGCGGACTTACCTGAAGGATCTGGAGGTCATCACAGTGGTGAGCAGAGCTGTCTGTGCTCATGACTCATGTTTAGTGTGTGAGGCTTGTCTGTACAATGTATCCTGTATGGTGTCAATTAGCTGTGTGTATGATCTTTTGATGTTTAATTTAGATGATCTTTTGCCTTTGAACTGTGTCTAATCACATTGATGTGTGTGTGTGTGTGTGTGTCTGTGTGTCTGTGTGTGTCCTCAGTGGTTCCGCAGTGCAGTGATTAAAGAAAACGCAATGCCTGAGGGTCTCATGACCCTCCTGTTCTCCAACATTGACCCCATCTATGAGTTCCACAGAGGCTTTCTCAAAGAGATTGACCAAAGGCTGGCTCTCTGGTACCAGTTCTTATTTATCAAATTGCAACTTGTTGGCGTATGACAGTGTTACACAAATTTGAATTTATTTTAACATATAAAGCCTACTTCATTTTATTTGATACACGAGGCCTCTAAATTATCAACATAATCAAAAACCGTGAAAAATCTGTTGTATACAATCTACTACATGCCTTCTATTGTATGATTGATATTAATACTTTTTAGCAAGAAAAATTTGGTCTCACTTTATTTTAAGGTCCAATTCTCGCTATTAACAAACCAATTAACTATGATTTTTGCCTATAGGTTCAGTACGGCAATCCTGTTTTGTCTCAGCCATTGATCATTTTCACATGTTCACAGGGAGGGGCGCTCTAACGCTCATGTAAAAGGAGATTACCAACGAATTGGAGATGTTATGCTGCGCAACATGTGTGCTCTGAAGGTGAGGTTATAGTTCAGTTCTATAAGCAAGAACGACTTTAATTTGAATTTGATTTATTGGTGCAAGTATTCAGATCATCCATCATTTGGGATGGGGTTGTTGCCTTCATAATCTCAGGAGTTCACAGGCTATCTGCAGAAGCATGATGAGGTGTTAACAGAGCTTGAGAAAGCCACAAAGCGTGTGAAGAAGTTGGAGACTGTGTATAAGGAGTTTGAGCTGCAGAAGGTGTGCTACCTGCCCCTCAACACCTTCCTGCTGAAGCCCATCCAGAGACTCATGCACTACAAACTCATCCTGGAGCGTCTGTGTAAGCATTACGTCCCCCAGCACAGAGACTACGATGACTGCAAAGGTGAGCCTGCTACAAGCTAAATCATTAAATGTTTTTTTTTAGTAGTACAATCACTTTTCTTTAAGATCTGAGCATGATAATGAACTTACACATTACATTTTTGCAGAGGCTCTGAAAGAAGTTGCAGAGATTGCTGCTCAGCTGCAGAGCAGTCTGATTCGACTGGAGAACTTTCAGAAGCTGACAGAACTTCAGAGGGATCTGATTGGCATTGAGAACCTTACAGCTCCGGGAAGAGTGAGTTGTTACCTTGTACATTTTTATTTTTATTTTGGTTCATCAAAGTGGGTGGATGAACTTGCATCCAGAATATCTCCTTCCAGGGGGGAAGCTGGTTAGGGCTGTCAAAATGTCTGAAAAACTAAATTAGAATTTTATACTTAAATATTATCAATATTCGAATTATATTCGAATTTAAAAGGCATAATTTCAGTTAGGGGTTAAAAAAGCTTTTGGCTTCTCTCCTGAGGCCACAAGAGGGCGCATCGAGCAAAATATTACTTATGCCCATTTCTTCAAAGGAATAAAATAACACGTCTATCTTTGAAAAAAGTGCATAATGTTTAAAATAATGTTTATAAACCATATATAATAAATAAAGGTGCTTAAACAATTAGAAACAAAACAGCATCATGCATGTATGTATAGTTTAATACAAAGGACCGAAAACCAATCACAGAGAGTACTTTATTCATTTAAAAACATGAGATGCAGTGGGATGGGGAAAAACCGGCATAAAGCCTTGAGACATGTTTTTTAAAAGTTGAACTTACATTAATTTTACATGGCTTTCTAAACGTGTCTCTCTTGTGTGAGACACAGGTGCAATGGTGATAGATGTTCCTCTAGAAAATGCGATAAATATGCGTTCTGTGTGAACGGCTTGGTTTCAGTTTTGCCGTAAACAACAACATCTCTGCATTGATGTTCTCTTTTTCCGCAATATTTTGAATGAACAACGTAGCAGCGCCACATCTAGTGGGTTCAACTGGATAAGCTATGAAAAACATTACAATGCAATGACATTTACATTATCGCATTCCGTGTGCCACTGTTAAGGCTGCCTGACGCACACCTAAAATTCGCATTCGAATGTGGATTTTTATTTTAAATTCGACGAATATTCAAAATTCAAATTTTTTTGTTTTTTTTTACAGCCCTAAAGCCGGTTACAAAGTTATGAGCCAATTATACTATGGTCATGGTATTTTACTAAGTCGTATAAAATGTAACTATGCATTGCTAGATTTACACTTTTTATGTGGCAGAAATCTATAAGATAAAAGATAAATCTGAGCTAGAGGATCACAGAACTCAGAATAGACAAATTATCGAGAAAGGTATTTAAAAGAGGGTTATAATACCCAAAATAACAGCAATGTTCTTCACTGGAAAAGTTATTTAACCTCGATACAAACACTCATTGTCATGGCAGTCTTCGTCTCATTTCTCTGCCTAAAGATTTGTGGTACACCGCTGGCAGGATGATAGTAATGTAGTGGTTAGAGCTTGGAAGGAATACAATAGACGTCATTGATTCAGCCTTACATATGAGCATCTTACAAAATGAAGAGTTCCAGAGAAACAAGGAAATTGGATTTGCAGTTTGCTGCTTTATAATTAATTAAAGTCATTAAGTGTTGTGGGACAAACATGTCAAAGTACAATTGATTGTCTGCTACCCAGTTCATTTTTTTCCCCTGCTCCTCCTCCAGGAATTTATCAGGGAAGGTTGTCTCTACAAGCTCACCAAAAAGGGTCTGCAGCAGAGGATGTTTTTTCTTGTAAGACTGAACCTTTGTTCAAATGTGGCAGTTTTGATTTTAACTTCTGCCTGTGTTGACCAAAACCTTTTCCATCTAAGTTTTCAGACATGCTGCTGTACACAAGCAAAGGGGTGACTGCAACCAATCAGTTCAAAGTTCATGGACAGCTTCCTCTGCATGGGATGATTGTGAGTATTCCCAGGAATTACTTTTGAAATGGAATACTAGCAAACTGCATACTGAATGAAGTACACTGTGTACTGCTGTGGCATGCGAAACAGTAAGCATTATGCAGTGGTACACATTTCAAACAGCAGTATGCTGAACATTGTCACATGATTTGTAAAACCTTTGAAAAAAGTCAAAAATGCTACTCCAAAAATCAAACAGGTTAGGACAAAACCAGAACAGATGCGATAGGGAGCCCTCTGTTGCTTTACATTGATCACATATTGGAGAAATAGTGTTGTATGTTTTATTTAGTCTAACTTTGGAATAATACAATCTATGCACTACCTTAAACTGGATCAGCCTATGTCAAGCATTTATTGAACAATATTGGATCCTACTAAGACGTTCATTCCATGTTTCATCAGACAGGTCTATACCAAAATCCTTGGCCCAAGCTTCTTTTAAGTGGCTTGTGTTCACAGGCATCAGAAAAGCATTAACAAATCATGAAATCAAATGTCTAGGGGTTGGATTTGACGTGACTAATTGTTATGTTCAATTCAGCGAATTACTTTCAGTTAGGGCTGGGAGTCGATGCTAAAAGGAATTGATTCTTTGATTCGGCGGTTCTGGGAATCAAAAGTCAGCTCCAAATATAAATCAACATATCTTGGCATTACCTGACATACTATTGTTTTGCCCGAAAACACCTACTGAGTTGGTATTACATTTGATGAAGAGCTTCACTGTTAAATAATTGTTTTACATAGAATAATTTACATAGTGTTGTACTACGTCCTCCATGCTTTTATGCGACCCATCAGTTGTGTCGCTTACCTGCCATGCACGACCTGTGGCCTTATGGGATAGTAAAGTATCAGGCATATTCGGACGCAGTGTGTGTCCACTACTTCAATTCTGATTAATCCCTGTGACTAGAATCTTTTGATTCTATTCAGGAAAAAGACTCAGATTTGTTCACTGATTCTTTTGGTGATTCTTTCTTTGTCTCATTATTACACCAGTAGATGGTGACTTTTTTTTTTTTCTTTTTTTTTTTGAACATTTGAGTTTTTGAATCATTCACTCATCACATTTGTGACCCTGGACCACAAAACCAGTCATGAATGAGATTTATACATCAATAATAAATAAGCTTTCCATTGGTGTATGGTTTGTTAGGATAGGACAATATTTGGCCGAGATACAGCTATTTGAACATCTGGAATCTGAGGGTGCAAAAAAAATCAAAATATTGAGAAAATCGCCTTTAAAGTTGTCCAAATTAAGTTCTTAGCAATGCATATTACTAATCAAAAATTAAGTTTTAATATATTTACAGTAGGAAATTTACTAAATATCTTCATGGAACATGATCTTTACATAATATCCTAATGATATTTTGGCATAAAAGAAAAATCAATAATTTTGACCCATACAATGTATTTTTGGCTATTGCTACAAATATACCCCAGCGACGTAAGACTGGTTTTGTGGTCCAGGGTCACATTTGTACAGAAGTTGTTCTCGACATAATATACATGTTTTAAAAAGCTAAATGATCATAATCGCTTGACAGATGAAAGACTTGAGAATGAATGAAAGAATGACTTTTTTTTTTATTTTACCCTGCAAAAGAAGTATACACACTTCAACTTCAGTGTCTCATCTCTCATGTCAACCAGCTTGCCTTAAAAGGCCTTTTAACAAATGACTCTGTCCAAACATTCTGCACAAGTGCTATGTTGAGAAGATTTGTCCATCTTTAAACATGAGAATAGGGCTTTCTCAGTAGCATGCTGTTTTTAAGTGAAGTTAGAATTAATGTGGCTTGCTGGGGAACTCTCAGATGAAAGTACACAGGCAAGGCAGTGATAAATGACGTTTACACTGGCATTTTCCTCTAAACGTCTGCACTGTCTCGCATCTTAGCTTTGTTTTCGTAAAGCAGTGTTCTTTCAGGCCTTATTTGATCTGCCGTTAGCTAAAATGTGAATGTACACGCTGTCCTGGCCCACAATTCATACAAGATGCATGTTCAAAGATAAACTTACAAGAGCTGTTTACAACTGTTAAGGACTGGAGAGGAGTAGTCTGGGTTGTTTTCCTAAAACAGTGCTGAGAAATCAGTTTTGCAATCACAGAAATAAATTGTATTTTAAAATATATAAAAATAGAAAAGCTGTTTTAAATTGTAATGATATTTCACAATGTTACTGTATTTACGGTGTTTGTGATCAAATAAATGCAGGCTTGGTGAACATGAGGTTGCATTCAAAAACATTTAAACATTTTCCCAAACCCTGAATTTTTGAACAGTTATTACCAAATGAGAAACGCATTTACAGTACATACTGTTCCAATGGACTTGTCTATGCTTCGCTCCTGTCTGCAGCTCATTGTGCTGGACGCTCCGGTGAGTATGAAGAAAATCACAAAATCCTCCACTCCCAAACAACACCTCGCCTTTGCATTTCCCTCTCAGCTCCTTCTGCTGTCCCTCCCAAGCATCAATAGAAATGAGGATTGCTAGTAGACAGGATGTTAACAAGTAGATTATTGACACTTTGGGATGGGATCAGTCACATTATCCCAAAGAATGCTAGTCGTACAGATCCCTTAAGTTTAACTGGCAGGCCTCTCTCTGGACTGTGTTTAAATGTTTTGCAGGTGGAGGAGAGTGAGAATGAGTGGTCTGTTCCTCACTGTTTCACCATATATTCTGCTCAGAGGACCATTGTGGTGGCAGCTAGGTACGTGCATATGAAAGAAAGTGCTTTCACACTGTGTTTAAGTAGGACTGGGAATCATGATGAAGTTTTGGTTTGATTTGGTTGAGAAATTTGGGTTTAGAGTCCTTAATTATTCTATTAACTTTTTCATTCCAGCGATTTTTTTTTTTTTTTTAGTAATGTTAAAAAAATAAAGAACAATTGGTTACACTTTATTTTAAGGTGTCCTTCTTACAGTGTAATTATACATTTAAGTACTGAGTAATATTAACTACACGTACTTACTATATGGTTTGGGCTAGGATTAGGGGTTGGTTTAGGGTTACTTGCATGCAATAATGCATCATTTATTGTTATTATAATAGTATGTACATGTAACGTGTAACAAGGACATCTTAAAATAAAGTGTTACTGAATAATTTGGCAGCCTGTTGAAATCATGAGATCAGATTTAAACAGTAATAACAAATATATTTTAAAATGCAATTAAATTATATTAGACACCTTTATTGTATATTGTGCTATTAAAAAAGTTTTGAATCAGTAAGGTTTTTTTATATACTTTTATTCAGCAAGGATGCAACATGACAGTAAAGATATTAATATTTTTACAAACAAATCTATTTAAAAATAAATCTGTCCTTTTTTGGTCATCAAAGAATCTTGAAAAAAATGTATCACAGTTTCCACAAAAATATTAATCGGCACAAACGATAATAGCAAGAAATGTTACTTGATCACCAAATCAGCATATTATAATAATTTCTGAAGGATAATGTGACACTGAAGACTAATGAGAGTAAGAGAGTAATGACTGCTTAAAATTCTGCATTGCCATCACAAGAATAAATTACATCAAATTTAAATTGCATATATAAAAATATAATAAAATTGAAGTTTTTTTTAACTGTAATATTTCACAGTATTAATAATAATAATAATAAGTGTAACCTGGGTGAGCATAAGAGACTTATTCAAAAATAGTAAAAAAAAATTTAGATTTTTTTTTTAATTAACAGTAGTATTATATTATTTTTATATTCAAATAAACATTTCTTTTAAAGGGATAGTTCACCTAAAAATAACAATTTTGTCATAATTTACTCGCCCTGAAGTTGTTCCAATTTTTTTCTTCTTCTGCTGAACATATTTTGAAGAATGTGAGTAACCAAACAGTTGCTGGTCCTCATTGACATACGTAGTATTTTTTTTCCCACACTATGGAAAGTCAGTGGGCACTATTAACTGTTACCCACAATCTTCAAAATATCTTCTATGTTCAACAGAAGAAGGAAAAAAGGACTTGAGGGTGAGTAAATAATGACAGAATTTTGCTGTTTATCATCTTTCAGTAAGAGACTCTTTCTCCTCCACAGTTCCAAAGTAGAGATGAACAAATGGATTGAAGATCTGAACATGGCTATTGACATGTCAAAGAAATGTCAGGAGAAATCAGATCTTCTGTTGGACCCAAGCCTGTGTGATCGCTCCAACAGTAAGTATCTCAAGCCTGCTTACAATGTATTCATCCACTGTGCAGGAAGTGATGTGTTTTTGTCCCTTAGCCTCCTTATCACTGATCCTGAAGTAGATGTAAACCCCATCCCTTCCCATTGCTCCTCCTCTCTCTCCCCTCTCCTCTTTTCTTCCTCTCCCTCCGCACAATCGTAAGGATCATCAGATGAAGTGTCTCTGGAGCAGGAGTCAGAGGATGACATGAACTCTTCCCGCTGCTCTCTGGACAAGCAGAGCCACCACAGGGCCAACACCACCATGCACGTGTGCTGGCACCGCAACACCAGCGTCTCTATGTCTGACCACAGCCTAGCCGTGGAGGTAGCATTTACACACTTGCGCACACAAACATGCAATCATTTACAGTCTTCATGGAGACTGATTGTGAAGGTCTTGACAACAGCTGCAGTGTACAAATGAAGGAACGTGACTGTAGTGTTTGGGTCATATTTCACCCCAGAATCAAAAGAAACAAATATTTTGGATAAAATAAGACTTCTTTCTTTCTTTCTTTCTTTCTTTCTTTCTTTCCTTCTTTCCTTCTTTCTTTCTTTCTCTCTTTCTCTCTCTTTCTCTCTCTTTCTGTTCGTCTGTTCTTTCTTTCTTTCTTTCTGTCCGTCCGTCCGTCTGCTTTCCTTCCTTCCTTCCTTCCTTTTCATGTTTTACAGTTTCTTTTTGTCATAAATTCAGTACTTGCATTTATTATTATTACCCTGAATTGTCAGTACTGTAATGAAAAAAATATCATCCTTTGCGATCATATTTTTGTTTTCTGCTAATTCAGTACAACAAATATTCTACAATATATTTATACACTTCATTTTTAAATAATCAGTTGAATTAGTTCATTTATTTTTTTAATTTTATCATCAACTTACAACTTATATATTATGGTTGTTGTTGTATTCTTCTTCTCCTTCTCCTCCTCCTCCTTCTTCTTCTTCTCCTCCTTCTCCTTCTTTTTCTTCTTCTTCTTATTATTTTCATGTCAGCTATAAACATTTTCACTCTGAATTGTGAGTACTGTAATGCAAAAAAAAAATCTCATGCTCTCCAACCCAGTTTTTTTTATCATAAATTCAGTGTGAATAATAATTTAAATGTTTAATAATGTGTTTAAATACCAGTTTTGGGGTGAAAATTGACTCTTGCTTTAAGAGGTTTTGTGAGATTCACCCAGTTTGAGCTTTACAGACATGAACGTACACACAAGCACACACACATCTCTGAGGCTGGCTGTTGAGGTCTGGACTGCAACCGTAGCTTGTGAATGAGGGGCAAAGACTCTTGGATCTTTTTCTGTTGCTGTCTCCTTTTTCTTCACCCTCATATTTTCCAGTTACGCCACATCCAGTAGCTTCTCCACCCTTCCCCTTCCATGTTTTTATGTCTGTAACATTTTTTCCTCTTTATTTGTCCATCAGTAACTGCCTTTTGGAATGAAATTGAATGAATGAATGAACATTTTCATGGATGCTTCATTTCTTCTAACATTTCTTATATGATTTGAAGAATTTTCGATCTGTCTTTTTTTCCTCACTTAGGGATTGAAAGCTAACTTTCTAACACTCTTTGTGTCTTCTGTTCTTCTTCTGTTCTTCTTTTTGTCTTCATCACTTTCTCTGCACCACATTATCTGTCCTCCTTCCTGTTTACATCTGTTTCTGTGCTCCGTTTGCCTGCCTGCCTGCCTGCCTGCTCTCAGTATTCAGTTCTCCAGCCGTGTCTCCAGAGCTCCCCCCTCGGTACCTGCTCGGTCAGGGCCAGAGACCCAACACCATCACTCGTGTGCTGGTACCGAAACCAGAACCTTTCTCTCAATGATTATCTGCGCATGAACCAGGTACCAATGAGGTTTTGAAGACCTTCACTTGAATATGAAAACTTCACAAAACATTAAAATACAGTGATCCTTGATTATCTAAATTCATCCTTGTTTTAAAGGGGTCATATGATGCTGCTAAACCTTCTTTCTTTGCGTGAACATTTGGGTGGCGTTATGCAAATCTTCCCACATAGTGAGGTAGATATGTGGGGGCGTGTTAGAACGAGCCGTTTTAGGTAGGTGTGGCTGACTCTTACATTTTATAAAGAATATCTCTTTGGATTTTAGACTTTAGTCTTTGCAACTTTACAGATCTTCTTTATGCACCAAGAGCTTGTAACACTCCAAAGAGAAAGGAAAAATTGAAATCACATCATATGAGCCCTTTAATTTATTTAAAAATACATTAACATTAAATCAAAATATCCATCTATCTATCTATCTATCTTGTGGTTTATGTAGGGCTATATATTACAAAACGTAGGCCTGATTGATGATACATCTGACCTTATATCACAAAGAAAAATCATAATTAAATAAATCAAAATTGTCCAAAAAAATAAACATTAAGAAATTTATCCTTAACTTCTATTATTACTTTTTTTTTTTTTTTTTTGTGTTAGCCAACCTTTTTTTCATGTGGTGCCACCAAATTGTAGAAAAAAATAAACATCCTCAGGACGGTGACAAAGTTTTTCAAAATAACAGATCATTTGACTGTTTTATGACCAGGAAAGGCTAGTCAATGTTTTAAAATATCATGTGGTGTGACACCCTTAAATTAAATTATACTGTATTTATGAATTAATAATTCATGAGATTTGTTAATAAATCAAATATTTAAAAAAAATTATTTTTTTTTTATATAGACTAAGATGTGTACATTTGCGTCACCAGGTCTATCTGTCACTTGTGACATCGAATTACCAACTCTTTTTGAAACTGGATGACTTTGGTCTTTCATTGCAAATTCATTATGACCCATTTTTAGACATTTCTCACTCGTAATAAATATGTGTAGAAGAGTTCAAGCTCTGCCAGTGAAATTGAGACTTTTCTGTTATGATTTCTTTTTTTAACTGCTCATTTGGAAAAGTGGTACTCTCTTCTTCAGCTTATTCTTTCCGTGTTTTGTATAGCTGTAAATTTCATTAAACTCTAATGCAGCACCAATGGTCTTTTGTGAATGAGGGGTTCTTGCTGTGTTGTAGCAGTTGAATTTCAAAACTTCCTGTTGCCCTCCATTACAGAACCAGCTGTCTGGTTACCTACTAAGGAAGTTCAAGAACAGCAACGGCTGGCAGAAACTCTGGGTCGTCTTCACCAACTTCTGCCTGTTCTTCTATAAGACACACCAGGTAATAACAGCTTTTTGATGTATTTGATGTTCATTCTGGACGATTAAACTTCCTGTAGAAGGTCTAAAGGCCTGGATAATTTATAATTAATTCTTGTTTTTGTTCCAGGATGACTTCCCCCTGGCCAGTCTGCCGTTGCTAGGTTACACAGTCAGCACCCCAGGGGATTCGGATAGCATCCATAAGGAGTACGTCTTCAAGCTGCAGTTCAAATCCCATGTTTACTTCTTCAGGGCAGAGAGCGAGTATACATTTGAAAGGTATGGATAAAAAAAAAAAATGAATATAATTTATTTAAAAATGATTATTTTGGTTATTCTTTGTTTCATATTAATTATGTAATCATAGGGCTGTTAGTTGATTTCAGTGGTTAATGATTTGGTAATTTATCAAATTAATGTACAGTGCCGTCCTAAAGTTTGTGATCGGTAAGATTTTATTAAATGAATTTTTGAAAGAAGTCTCTTATGCTCACCAAGGCTGCAATTATTTGATGAACATACAGTAAAATGAGTGATACTGTAAAATTTTAATACAATTTAAAATAACTTATTTTAAAATGTGTCAATTCCAGTGATGGCAAAGCTACATTTTCAGCATCATTACTCCAGTCTTCATTGTCACATGATCCTTCAGAAATCATTCTAATATGCTGATTTGGTGCTTAAGACACACTTTTTATGATTATAATCAATGTTGAAGACAGTTGTGCTACTCCTTTTTGTGGAAACCGTGATACGTTTTTTTCAGGTTTCTTTGATGAATAGAAAGTTAAAAATGAAGAAACTGCTGATAGCCTCGTGGGCAGCAGGTCGACATATAGCGTCATTGCACTTTGGGCATCCCGAGTTTGAATCCCAGCTCGTGGACCTTTCCCAATTCCCCCCTCTCTCTTTCTCTCCCATTTCACTTCCTGTCTACCAACTGTCCTATGAAAATAGAGGCAAAAATAAATTAAAAAAAAAAAAATTTTAATGCCTTTTTTTTTGTGGTGTTTTTTTGACTTTTTATTAGTATAGGACAGTGTAGAAGTGACAGGAAGTGAAGCGGGAGAGAGAGAGGGGGGTGGGATAGGAAAAGGTCCTCAAGCCGGGATTCGAACTCGGGATGCTAGTAACGTAACGGCGCTATATGTTGGCGCACTGCCCACAAGGCTGTCAGTGCCGATAACATTATAAATGCCTTTTGATCAATCCGATGAATCCTTTCTAAATGAAAGTATTAATTACTTAAAAATAAATAAATAAATAAAATTAGTGACTCCAAATGTTTGAACAGTACTGTATGTCATTATTACTCGCAAATAATTGCTTATTCTTGCTAATAAAAACATACAAAATAATTTCATTACAATTCAATACATAATACTTTTGAAGTTTTTTTTTTTTCATTTATTATTAATGCTAAATGAACAGCCTTAGTTATTTTTTCTTCTATAACAAAAGATTATTTGGTATGCTAAAACATGCTGGGATGTCTGCAGATGGATGGAGGTGATCAAAAGTGCAGCGAGCTCCGCGGGACGCATGAGTCTGCTTGTACCCAAAGGCCCAGCAGAGATGAACGGGGGAAGCTGAGTGTGTAAGACTGATCTCCTGGAGCTGAGGGCTGGGCCCACTGTCTGCCGGGACCAAACACACCATCATCACTTTATCCTTTCTGATTTGTGGCTCTGAGAAGCATCATCATAATAACTTGATTCTTGACTCTGGACTGTTAGCTCTCTGCTTGCTGGGAGTTTGAGCTGCTTATTGACACCTTGGACCGAAGAATTTGGTCGAAAAGTAAGCGCTCTGTAATTCTCTTCTCTAAATCTTTTCTTCTTGTTTTCTCGCTAATGAAACATAAAATGGGCGTCTTGCTTTTCTAGAACCACATTAGACTGAAAGAATTCTTATAGAAATACATTAGACTGAATTAAGTTATGTTTGTGTTTATCTTGCTAAGGTTACACTTATTGCTGTATTCAGGTTTTAAGGTCTTTGCTAAGATGAATCTCATTAGGATGATATTTAATGACTCTTGTTACTCCAGTTTTTTCAGTAGAAATCTAGTCCCACAGGACTACAAAAATGCTTTCTATTATTTGTCCTGGGACAACATGACTGAATACTACTGAATGGAGTGTTGACAAACAGAGGGTTTGTATTAAGTCCAGCTGGTGCAGTAAGTGAGATGAAGGACTAGCGCTGTAAAATGTGTCTCGCTGATTTTGAAACAATGTTACGTTGGTCAGAGAGCACGTTTACAGGGCGCAGCTCAGAAACTGGAGTTCTATGATCGAGCGCCTTCGCACTTTTAAAGGGCTGAGGGTGAGATGTTGGTACAGGAAGGAATCTGAGAGGAATAGAAATGCTATTTTGAAGATGAGGCAGCTGAATTGGCTTGTACAGTATGTGCTGTCTTCTTCCAGCGTAGGTTAAAGCATGTCTTGAAGGTTATTATTAAGCGACTGTTACTATTTAGGGGATTTTTAAGGTCTGATCCGTTGATTTTTGATCTCACAGCATGAAAACTAATCAGATATTTATTTTAAAGTGAAGACTGACCAAAAAATATTCACTAACCAAACTAAATGTAATGTTTTAAATGATGTAGTAACAAATGTCACTAGTTTTGATTTTTGGGATACTTGACAGATAATAAGCTCAAGTCTAAACTAACCCCCTTATGGGGAAGAAGGTCATCCACAGTGTAATACTGCACTTTTCTTTCAGTTTCTGCCCTCTACACAGAGGGAAGAGGAAATGGTTCTGGTGAAGTTCCAGTTTTGTCAAAGTTGAAGTTAAAACAACAATGCAAGATGTTCTCGGTCGGCCACTAAATCCTAAAATTTAAACTGGGATCAACGGCCTAAAACTGCCTGTTCCCCTTTTATTATATTGTATATGTGAATTTTTTTTTTTAAGCATATTAATTAATTTACAAGTTCTTTCCCTATGATCTATTGATAAACAAACATTTTATATATATATGTATATATATGTATATATATATGTATATGTTGCGGTCTCGTTTTGTTGGAAGGCCAGTTGAGTTATTTGTAGTTTTAGTAGCATGATGAAGTTCCACAGCATGTGTGACAGTGTTATGTTTACTTATCGGCTTCACTTTATGAAGATAGATCTGTACGACATCTGATTTGAGAGGTTTATTTAGCCTCTTTTTGGATTATTAGTTGTATTTATAAGGCTTTTGGCTTTGTCCGTTCAACATGCTGTACAGGGTCCAGCCAGACCTGAAGAAGTCTTGCATGAGCCTGAAAAGGTTGGCCAAAGTTAGTCGGCCACACATTAAGCAGTGTTGCTTTGTGTACTCATAACAATATACTGTAAGCAGCCATCATCTCGACATGAGCTCAGCTAGTCTGATGTGTTTCAAATCCCTCTTAATTCACTAATGCACTGTGTGGGCTCATGGTCTCCACCCTTTTTTGTACATTTTATGCAAGGACTGGAATCATTTTCTTCCTCGTTTGCAGTATCTGGCAATAGGGAGGGTTGGATGAACGGTTGTTTTCCATCCCGGATTGCTAAGCACGAGAGAAGGGTTTACTCAGAGACCTGTTTCCTGTCTCATTCTGAGAGGCACTAAACTGAGTTTTGATGAAATCGCTTCTCTCCAGCTTTTACTATTTATTTTGTGTAGCATGTTGCTGAGGCGTTGCTCCTGTACACACTGCATGTAGTAAGTTTCATGTTATGACATTGAAGGGCTATCAAATAAAACTGAACTGTGTAAACATTTAATTCTCTTCTTTTTGTCCCATTTAAAGGGTTAGTTCACATAAAAATAAAAATCGTTACTAGTAACCCCACCCTGTATGAGTTTGGTCATCATCATTAAAACAAAAATGAAGATATTTGAATGAAAACTGAGATTTCGGTCCTTTCACTAAAAGATCACTACACCAAAACTTTAACACTTAAGAAAGTTCATAAAAAACATTGTAAAACTAATTAATTCAAGTCCTATTTCAAGAAATAAAAATCGTTTGTTAATTGAAATAAGGCTAAAATAAATATTTGATGAAAAAAACTAAAACTTAGTTTGTTTATTGGCAAGGCAAAATTTCGCATTTACGAAAATTGCTATAAAATGTATTCTATAAATGTATTTTTCTATAAAAGAGACAACAAAATGACAGAAAAATAAATAAAAATGTGAAACTGAAAATATAAAAATAAAAGCTAATTCTGAATAATTCATAAATTATACTAAAATAACCCTGCTTTGTGTTGTATAATATAAACTAATATATATAGGATTTAATTTAAGCTTTTATTCACAACGTACATACATGGAGCAAGTCAAATATAGTAAACAAGCTCAAGTGTATGTGCGTTGATCAATATTTATGTGAATAAAAGTTAAATCTGTTTATATTCTAAAACAATTAAAAAAGAAAAGGATTACTTTTACAATTCTTTATGAACTTTTTGGAGCTTCAAAGTTTTGGTTCTATGGATTTTTAATGAAGGCACAGAATTCTCTCAGATTTGTGTTTCGAAGCTGAATGAAAGTCTTATGGGTTTGGAATGACATGGGGGTGAGTAAATGACAACAATTTTAATTTTTGGCTGAACTATCCCTTTAAGCCTTTTCCTACATTTCACCTTGTAATTTATGTCCTAAATGCAAACGTGAGAAATAAACACTTTTTACACTAGTTTATTTACATTTCAATGTACTTAATGGAATTTAATGGAATACACATAAACCTGGTTCGTCATTTCATATTTTACATTTCATTTAGACATTTCAAAATTCTATAAAGTAAACTGTAAAAACATCTCATAATACAAGCTGGAATGGAATGACTGGTGTTCAGCTGAAGGAGCAGGAGGTGGCTCATGAAGAGATCAGGATAGTCTTTCCATCGGACGGAGCTGACCAGCAGTCAGACGGACCTCATCGTTTTGAAGGCATGCTGTTACCGTTGAGTGTAAACCTGCAGGGTTGAGACAAAGGAAGTCTCAGAGTTCACTCCTGCGGAAGATTTAGTACTGCATGCAAGTGCCACAGCGCAGCACAATATCTTACAGCATTGAATCAGCATGACCTGAAAAACTGGCATAATCAGAAAATGACATAAAATACAATTAGATACTGTGTGTACAGACACATAGGGGAGACTGTATATTAAATGTGTTTACCTGCACACTCTCTCCATAATGTTATTGAGTAAACGGTCTGAGATTCCAGGGCTGGACTCCTCTGCGAGGCTGAATGCGTTTTCCAGTTCCTCCAGGGCACATACACCGCTCCCGCTAACACGCCGCTTCTCCTTCAGCTGCATACAGAACATAATCCACGTGTTCTGACTTGACGTTAAAGCAGGAGGTCCAGGCTCACTTACATAAATGTACGTTTTTGAATTCTTTACCTCTCTGAAGATGGGTGTAATGAACGTTTTTAGAGATGGTGACTTTGGCTGCCTCTTCATAACATCTGATGTCTGTTATAAAAAAAGAATAATTTCAGCTGTATTTACTTTTCTTTTTTTAAATTGCACCCCATATATATAATGATAGATGATAGCGTGTGTGTGTATATACAGGTGCATCTCAATAAATTGGAATGTCGTGGAAAAGTTAATTTATTTCAGTAATTCAACTCAAATTGTGAAACTCGTGTATTAAATAAATTCAATGCACACAGCCTGAAGTAGTTTAAGTCTTTGGTTCTTTTAATTGATTCTTGAATCGATTTTGCTTGACAATCCTCATAAGGCTGCGGTTCTCTCGGTTGGTTGTGCATCTTTTTCTTCCACACTTTTTCCTTCCACTCAACTTTCTGTTAACATGCTTGGATACAGCACTCTGTGAACAGCCAGCTTCTTTGGCAATGAATGTTTGTGGCTTACCCTCCTTGTGAAGGGTGTCAATGATTGTCTTCTGGACAACTGTCAGATCAGCAGTCTTCCTGATTGTGTAGCCTAGTGAACCAAACTGAGAGACCATTTTGAAGGCTCAGGAAACCTTTGCAGGTGTTTTGAGTTGATTAGCTGATTGGCATGTCACCATATTCTAATTTGTTGAGATAGTGAATTGGTGGGTTTTTGTTAAATGTGAGCCAAAATCATCACAATTAAAAGAACCAAAGACTTAAAATACTGTGTGCATTGAATTTATTTAATACACGAGTTTCGCAATTTGAGTTGAATTACTGAAATGAACTTTTCCACGACATTCTAATTTATTGAGATGCACCTGTATATGACATTTTTTAATAGGGTTGTTTTTTGTAAGTTTGCATTTTGATGACATTTGAGATGTATTTATGTTATACTACAGGTGAATGAATTGTCAAATCAGAAAAGAAACTGATCATATTCAATATACAATTAGTATTACAGGTCATCAGTGCTGCCTTTGATACTATTAACATTCTCTTGGGTAGGCTCAAAAATTATGATGGCATTAATGGAATTGAATTGCTATTTTTAAAATCATACTTATCTGACAGTTATCAATTTGTAGCAGTAAACAAAGAAATGTCATATGGATCACAGGTTTGGTATGGAGTACCGCAAGGCTCAGTACTAGGGCTAAATATTTTGATCGACTATAGAGCGCAACAGTCAGGGTTCCGAAAGTAAAAATCCCATCAATTTTCTCCATAGGGGAACTGATTTTGAACAATAACTTATACTAACTAAATAAATATATATTTAACATCTTTACATATATAGTTTTTTATATAAACTGCATTGTTTTTATTTAAATTGTCATTTGTGATTCTTCATGGGATTTTAGTGTTCTTTCCCTCATTAAAGCTGTTCAGTACACAGTCTTGTACCTCTGTTTGTTTTGTCCAATTTTCTAATATTGTCTGTGCTTCAAATGAAAGTTTATAATGTTGTGATTTTTTTTTTTGTAGCTGGCTGGTTTGGTTCATAACTTGTAAGTCTCAAAGACTTTTTTAAAAATCACTATTGGAAAACACTTCTTGAACCAAGATGGCTGAAAAGTGGACAGGCACTGTTGCAATTTATAAGACCAGTATTCAGCTGGTCATGTGATCACAATATGGCTCCCCTATACGCAAGACTGTACATGATTTTATACTAAAAAATATTTACAATTAAGTCTCTTACACTTACTCTCTTCGCATAAAATGTTTACTTTGACTGCATTTTTTAAGGAGGCTCTGAAATATGTAATACAGTATAAAAATCAGATTAAACATTGCCAGATCTGACCCATTTCACACATAGTATCAAAGGCAGCTCTGATGCAACTTTAATTTACCGCAAATAAGATTCCTTTGTAGACATATGCTGCCTCTGTGGCACTACAAAGTCTGTTTAACCACCCTTTATGCCCTCTATATAGTACAGATTTTGTGCTGCTTTTGTTCATATTTACCTTATTGTCTAAATTATTGAAACCTCTTTGTAACTTGTTCATGGAAGTGGGCCGCACAGTGGGGAAAGTCCACATGGGACACTGGTCCCTGTCATCCCCCTCCCCATCCCTGAGTGAAAACACACAGAGTAAACATACTGTACGCAAACTTCACAGGTTTGCTGATCGCTCATCTAGGAATATAAAGCACACACATACATGTCAGAGTCATCAGAGCTTGATTCGTCCCCGTGGCCCTCTGACTTCCAGCGGCGGTATCGATCAATGAGCTCTGCCAGGTATGAGGTTTTCTTGGTGTAGCGGGTGATGAACTTGTGTTTCAGAAGCTCTTTGGCTGTCGGTCTCTGTTGGGTGCGAACAGCATATCATAAAAATTAAAAGCAGTTTACCTCATGTTTTAAAGTTTAATTAGCCTGTTTATACTAAAAGCTAATGGCATCACTGGCGGAGTTTTAATAGAATTACAGGTATTACAGTTATATTCTATGAATATTATTAAAATATCTACTGTATATGATATTTTATATG